TGCAAATATCATATGATTGTTCTTTCGATGGTAATTGAAGAATATATTATTAATGCAATTAGTAACCTCGTAACAAGTAAGTTAATATTCCGCTGAATAAATAACGATAACGGTTTGCGTAATAGTCTCGAATAAATTGAATGTGGCCCATCAATAATCGATTCTCTTGAATTTTTTATCACATAACTCGCTCTCCCCTCCGCGCACACTTCTGTAAATGTTGCAATTGTGCTGTTGTAGCGAAATAATCGATCGCGCCCGCGTTACAATAACAACGTTAGTTGCAACCAGCTGCAGAATTTCAAGTTTCAAGCTGTTTGTTTTCCAAATTTTCGACGTTTTCTTCGCACAAACCTGTGTGTGTCTCACAGGTGGCGTTCCGAGAGCTGCTCGAGAGGGTTTTTCACGCGCGCGCGCGTGTCTCTCGAGCGAGAAGGACAACCGGCGATCATGATCCTGGAATGGCTCAGTAGTCACGAGCATGAAACTACGTGTCTATCCGCGGCAACGGCGCAAAAATGAGAATCGGGAAAAGCGCCGGGAAAACGTAACTACGTAAAAACAAAAAAAAAAAAAAAACACGCGGAACGATTTGCAGCGACGTGGTCGTTTTCTCGCGCGCGCCATTAGGAACTCGAATTCTCTCTCTCTCTCTCTCTCTCTCTTTCTGGTTTTCTCAGTGTTCCTCAGAATCCACGCGCATGTACGTCACCGACGTATACAGTGTGTGTGCACAGTGAAACGTGCGCGTGTGTGTCGTCACATACAGCCGCGCATTGACGTATACAAGAGGCGCGCGAGTGTGTGTTTGTGTATATATATGGAATGTAATACGGCGGCTGGTAGCGTCACATGGCTATTTAGAGGAGTTTCAGGGTGTAGCGGAGAGAGGGTGAAGGAGGGTGGAAGAGGTAAGGATCGAAGAGAACGTAAGAGAAGCGGTCGGACGGAGAAGCGCTCGAAACGAGGCACTCTCTCTTTCGTGCCCACGGACTGAGGGTTTTTCTCTCTTTCTCGCTTTCTTCTCTTTCCCTGTTTCCTTCTCTCTCCCCCGTATTCACCCCCTCGTGCGAGTCACCTCCCTCGTGTACCGACCCCGCTGCTATATCACCCGTTTCCCTTTGTTCGCGCGGGCGACAGTGATATTCTGCGGGAATCCGCAGATGTGGCTCGGTCGCATCCGCCACGGCCCGCCTCCTCTCTTCCCGGCTTGTTGCAGGCCCCGGCGCGGCGCGAGTTTGCGAAAAGCCAGACCACATCGACATTGCCGGCGCGCGCGCACGGCGCGCGGCATTGTTGCACCGCGCGACGGGCTAATAAAGAAAAATAGAGGCTTCTGCGCGGGATATTAGTTGCTCTCTGTGTTCGGAGCCCGGGATGCGAAGAAAAGGGACGGGAGGGAGAGATGGGCGATTCGACGCGAGAAAGAAGGACGGACGGGTGGCGGCGATGCCGCTACGGGACTCTTTATTTTACACCCGCGCGTTTCCCGATGTTGTTGATGCCGGGAGAGATCCCGAGTTCGCCGGGGGATTTTTTTTTATTTGAAACTCCCTGTGTCGTGATGAAGAGCGATTTTCGTCCGTCCCGCAAACGTTGATTGATACAAATGAACACGCACGCGCGCGCGCGCGTTTGCGGGAGACAGCACGTCGTATCGTTTATAATCGCGCGCGACGCGTAAAAAATATTCTCGTTTAATTAAAGAATTTGTTATTACAAACGCGCGCGCAAAAAGTGCGTCGACGCGACCGCCATCTCTGACGTTAAAATCAAATCTCGAATCCGAGTTGTTGGGAAAAAAAAAAAAAAAAAAAACCGGCAAAACAAGAAGGGAAAAATTAACGCGATTGCGAAATTAACGCCGAGAAAAAGAAATCATCGGTCCAATAATTTATGTGGAACAACGCGAGCATTTCCCGAGTAATAAGAAATCTCTCTAATGAAGAAATGCAAAAGCGACTTCCCGGATATTAGCTCGCCGGTATAAGAGGCGATGAAAATAAAGAGGACGATAAGAAGTGACGCTGACGACGAGCAGCTTTTATGCGCCTCGTGGATTCTCGAGATTCTTACGGTAGCTTCGGTGTACCCGCGCGCCTTAATCGCGTTTTACGCGAGTTCACGGGCGTATCGCTCGTATTTTATCTGTAGTTAAAAGAAAAAAAAACAACGCTCTTCAGAAGAGGGCAGCAAGATTTATCCGCGAGAGAGAAAGAGAGAGAGAGAGAAAGAAAGAGAGATTGCGGCCCTAATATTTCCCCCGTTCATTTTACACGTCACTCACGAGGGAGATATTAACGCGATCGATCGGCGGCTCCGGTCAACGGTGCGGGGCGCAAGGAGTCTCTTCCGGCCTATATTCGCGGCGGTCCTGTATACATTCCGGCGGGCTGGATGCCGCGGCCGGCCAAATCTCATTTCATGTTTGCGCTGGGCACATTGAACGGAGACAACAGTTGAGTACCAAATTGAATGGGATTGGTATATACTCTGAGATATATTCAGCGAATCGGACTCCATTGCCACTCAAGTGCTACTCGATTGTCGTCTCCGCTGAATACGGCCATTGGCTGTGACATTCATACAGGGCGACATTGAAAACTATTGTGGTAGATCCTTGTATCAATCGACGGCTATTGTAAGAAGCGAACACGCGTGTTTGTCTGTTCTGTGTGTGTGTGTGTGTGTGTGTGTGTGTTCCGCGCCAACACCAGGAAAGAAGAATTCGCACGCGCGCGAAGATTGCAAATTCCCGGTGAAACGCGAAACAACACACTACGTAAAAGCGAATTTGTTTACGTGACGTTGTAATTTAACATTACCCATTTACCCGCGGAGCTTGGTCGTATATCGTGTGTGTTTACACCTTCTACTTGTATCGTAATAAAAATGTGCGCGTGTACGTTTTCACGTGTTTACATGCATATTTCATAGTTTTCTCTTCCCGCCGCGTATCTTTTTATACGTAGTTGCGTTGTATCTATCTACGTCTTATCGCGAGCGCGCCAACCGTGTAAGGCAACACAACTCGCGCGCGCGCGCGCGCGCGCGACCCTTTATCTTCGCTCCCATTGTTATACACTTCGCCCCCGTTTCCTTTTCGTTTAATTCGCATAGACGCGACGGTGCCAGAACACTTCGAAAATCCGAGAGAAACACAGTCTCGTTGGCCTCGTTCGGTCGGTTGGTTTTCGCGAATTCGCACGAGAATTCGGGATTCAAGAAACAACGCCGCGCTCGGTCATGCTGATAGGCGAAAATAAAAAGCCGGTTTGTTGGATATTAGTTCTCCGCTTTCTTCACGGAAGCGAGAGTCACTCTCATTCGAAGATACTAATGGCCAAAATATCTCCCGCGGATTTTTGTGTGTGGCTTCTGAAAATTCGCGCGAGAGAATGCAAATGTTTTCGTTTTCGCAAGATTGCGCTGAGATTTTTCTTGTTGAGGAGAATGTCGATGCTTCCGTCTCCCGAGACCGACTCCGAAAACGAGGGAGCGAACATCGTCGCGCGAATCCTATTGGAAAAAGCGTGTGTAAATAATCACAATCGATTCTCTCGATATAATTGATTGTTGCCACTTTTATCTCGATGCTGATTAGACGTTTCTCGGATGTGTTTCTCGATTCTTGTCGTACGAATTAAGAAGCCTCGCGAGCACAACTTCGTTGCCTCTTGTACGCGAAATTCATGCGATTGAAAAACGTGACTAAAGTAGAGTCTCGTGACACGGAAGAGATGAAAAACAACACGTGACAATACTTTAGTCACGTGTCTTTAAAAACTTGACTACAGTGAAGTCACGTAACAGGGAGAAGAGGAGAAACAACACGTGACTACAGTCACGTGACTATAAATATAAATTAAATATAAACTAAATATGTACTTTGGTCACGTGTCTTTAAAAACGTGTTGGTTTTCTACTTCTCTTTCTCACTATATTTCGAATTTGAGGTTTATGCGTTTTCTACTGACATCTCTCATATGTGTAGTATATGGTGTGTAAGACGTGTATGCTAGGTGTCATCGCGGTACTGACAGGTTGAGTTTACTGACACAACACGTTAAAAAAATAATTAGAATAGCGTGCGCGTGCCTGTGCTAGTAAAAACAAAAAAAAAAGGTTTTTCATCTCCTAAGCGACTTGACTGAGTGTTTTTTATTGAACGAGATCGCCGGATCATGAATCCACAAATATCGGCACGATTCGGTCTCGCAGTGATTGCGAAACACAGACGATCGAGTTAGTTTTACAGCGCGTAGAAATAATTTTACGGGTGAGCCGTGTCGAAATTGAACTCATCAGGACACATCGCGGTTCGAGAGAGTGTCTCTCTGTACGTTTTATCGCCGCGCCAAAGGTCTAATTTCCGAACGTGCCCGAGAGGTCAACGGGCTACTTACTCTTCGGACCGATAAAGGAATTACCGGCGGTATCGATCCCTGAATTTTTATCGTGCCAAGAACGATCCGTCTCCCTTCGTGTGACGTAGCCGCGGGCACGTTCGCCCCGAGTATCGGGTTATAACCGGCCAAAGGGAGAGAAAGATTAGCGGAAGGGGAACACTCTTCCCCCCCTCCGTATCAATATTACGACCTTACGGGGGAGGATTCCCCTAATTGTGTCGGATCGTTGTTTGGAAATGAGTATGAGCATTAATTTGAGCCGGGTGTGTTTTTTCTCAAGGGTCTCGTGAGGGATAAGGCGAGATAAGTCATGATAGTGAGAGAACCGAAGAAAAACCGAAATTGACGCTTATTTGCGTGGTTTATTTTGACAGCATATTATTGCGGAGACTATTGCCGATTTTATTAAATCGAAAAAGAGAGCGATTGAAGGGTAAAAACTTTGTAGCATATATATACAGCGTGTGTATTTAGGTATTAAATTGTTTTTTCTTCCAGAAAGAGATGTTTTTTTGCAAATAAAGATAGATAGATAAATATTAACAATATATCACATTGTCTAACGACAGTGTCTTTTTTATCTTGTTGTAGATTTGAAGATGAATTGGCCACTGGTGCTGATTAGCTTTTTGCTGCCGCATTCGTGCATTCTCGGCGCATCACGTGGTAAGTTATTTCATCGAAAAGTTTCTACCACAAATATTATATGATATAAAAAAGTTAGGGGGTCAATTTACATAAATTATTAATTCTATAATTGTAAAGAATGTTTCAACAATTTTGAAAAAGAATGTTTTAACAATATTTGTTAAGTTATTAATTAATTAATGTCATTAAAGCGAATGAAGGTGAGAAGTCCGAACTCTATATAGATTTTCAGTTATAAAGAAAAATCTTACGCAATCTTTTAACAAGAGATGAAGCAAATACGCAAGCAACGTGTGACACTTCTTGCAAATTTCAGTTAAAAATCATGTGTACAAGAATCCGAATCGCTTTCCGTCGCTTCCCACGCGCTTACTGGCTCACATTAATCAATTAATAACTCAATAAATATTGCAAACAAATTTTGCAAATTGGTAAATAACTTTTCTGTTCAGATTCATCCGATCTATCTTTACACTTTGGCTTTGTCAAAATTTTTCTGACATATATATATATATATAAATAGTTTATAGCGCAAATATATATACCAAGAATTGCAAATATAAAATTAGAATAGATTTTGTTGGAAGCGCGGTGTGTCTCAGATATTAACTGACAATTAAATTAGATCTGTCAATATTACGCGTGACTTGTGTCACATTTATACAAAAAACAAACCTCGGAATCTTATTATAACTTCGAAAAAGAGTTTAAACATATATAAAAAATATATAAAAATCTTTTCTTTCACGAAGAAGAACAAGAAATCTACTTTGTGTGTTTTATGACAACTTTCGAATAATATTATTTAACAGCATTATTTTTGTTGATATTTGTTGACAACATTTGTTGATTTTAACATCTCCCTCGGAGATTTGTTATTACAACGTGTCTTGCAAAACACAGTACCGAAATGTATAAACATTCGTGTTTTATATAAGTAAACAGAACACTCTATATAACAATATTTGTGAATCGTTTTGCGCGCGCGTACACGACAAGCAATACTATTACCGCTATTCGTTACACGACCGGATATCGTTACCATCTCCCGCTGCTGTGCAACGAGCTGCAAAAGCCCCTGTGCCTAGAACCAGAAAACCCCACGAATTGGGTCATTTTTTTTTTTTTTTTTCCGTCACTGACGACGAGCGGCGGTGGTCGAGCCACGGGAGGCAGCCGGAAAATCCTTAATCCACCTCGGTCGTTCCGGAATCTGGTGTGAACCCGTGCGAGAACAACGCCGAGGGGTGGATTATGATGATCGTGAAAACAACGTACTGGGGCGTTGTCATATTCGTCGGAATGGGAAGGATGATTTTCTCGGATGTATTGCACACCGGAGCGTGACCCATAACCACGGCTCTTTTCTCCCGCTTCTTACTCAACTGTGCGCGAATAGACAAATTAATCGTCCTTCTCACATACATATATATATATATATATATATACATATATATATATATAGACACATACACACGCATACACACCCTCAGCTTCAAGCCTGGCGAAGCTAAGAAGCTCAGCGTTCGTACCTTATTTCTCTGCTCTAAGCTCCTACAATTCGATAACAGATCGTCTTATAATGACAACGGAGTTGTCTCTCTCGGTATTACACGTAGAAATACACGCTCGTTATTTCTCAAAATATATCTCAAGAAGACGTATCGCTTTGATGAAGGAGGAGGAGATCATATCTAATTTGATGTAACGGAGTTTGATCAATTTCTCTCGTTTCTTTGACGCGTGATGGGATATGATTGAATTTCGTCGTTCCCTTTAGAGGGGAAACATGATTTTCTTTATCTTGCGGAGCTTCTTCTGAAATGGCGCATGCGCGCGGGGCTCACGCTGCGGTGAGCTCGCTACCCTATTTGAAAGTTGTCCGGCAGTGTTCAACTTGTTTTGGCCCTATCGAGGCGAATCTCCCTTCACGTATGAAGGAACGGACACAATCTCCCGAGTTCGCCGGACTCGCCTGCGACCGCGAGCACGAACTTCGATTTCGAGCACACAAGAGACACCGAGTTCGCCGCCGTCCCCAACAGACGTCGATCCAGGTCAAAGTGTATTTTCTCGGTCGCACTCCGACGACAGCAAACGAACCGCAGTGGTACGCGCGCGTTCGGAATTTGCCAAACCGGACTTTCCCCTCCCTCCCCCCTTTCGGCTTAATTGGCGGCTTTCTCGCACGGGGGACCGTCTTTGACTTTCCTTTCAACGGGACGGGAGAAGTCCGGAAACTCGCCAATGGTCAGCGGCGCGAGACAATGTCGTAAAGACTCGCGATGTAACGAGCTGCGGTGAACAACTCCCGTGCCGGTGCATTCGACGAAACTCTACCTATCGTTTCAAAGATACGAGGAGCCAATGAAAACGTATCGGATACATGAGCATTCCCGGTTGCGTACTTTAATTAGATAGACGGTCTTGAATTAGCTGAAACGCAAGTTATCTTTGCGAACACAGTTTTGCTAATCATTTCGTATGAATTGAATGTTGATCATCTGTTTTTATTTTCCTATTTTTTTTTTTTTTTTTTAATGCTTTTTTGTTCGTGCAACAGGCATTAACACACATTTTAGCCGATTCGAGAAAACCGCTCGATCATCTTGCAGACTTGTGCAAGCAATCTCGACGATTTTCCAATCTATTTCAAGTACTTTTAGTCTTGAAATCTTCTCGCAGACGCGAGACGCCAATAAAGTCGCGTCATTTGTGCCCCGTGACGGTAAACCACTTCTTTCGAGTTCTTGAATTTGGTAACTAACTTAATTGGCGGCTTCGAGTCGGTCGCGAACCGTCTTTGTGGATTGAAGTGGCGCGGGACCCACGACTCTTCAGAGGGTCGTGGACGGCAACTAAGAAGCTCGAAACTTGTTAATGGCGTGGGTGTTATGGGACAATGGCGCAAAGACTGTTGAGATTGCGAGGGGACTCCAAGACTTTGTGTTTGATGCAAAACGGACCAATTAAGTTGTTAAAGAGAACACATTTTTCTCATTTTGCGAATCAAATGTCAAGGCCACGCGAAATATGTTTGTTGTCAATGTGTGTTTATACAGCGCGCGGAAAAGAGCGCAAAAAAATTGCTTTTTTTCACATCACAATTTAAAACAATGATGACAAAATCAATTGGAGAAAAAACGCAAGATCTTCGCGCGCACAATTATTATTATTTATATTTTGTCACTGAGAAGATGATCCGAGTCGACACGATCATATTAACCGCATATAGACATGGGTCTTCCAGACCCACTGAGAAATTTCAAACCGGTGTCTGTGATAAAAATTAGTTTTTTTTTTTTTTTTAACGCTTATAATTTTCGAAACCACTAGAGATTTTTTCAATTTGTTTATTTTTATCGACGCAGAATCGTTCAAACTTTCGATTTAAAAAAAAAAAAACCTTTGATCTTTCGCGGAGATATTTGATTCAAAGTCGCGTGGGTCTCACAGACTCAGCCTGTATAGCTAGGAGGTCATTTTTGTGCCTTCAATTGGTGTCTCTCGTCGTCACTTTGGAAACGGATCGAGTCGTCACACTAGTGTTTGCTGTTTTTATATCGGAATTTAGTTTTTTTTTTTTTTTGTACGTTTGACGATTGCGTAAACGAGAAATGAGGATATTCGCAGATGAAGAGTAAATGGGCAGCTACGCTATTCGATAGTAGATTTACGGCCATTACTGAGCTTAGCACATATTTAGTGAATGACAGTGAAATACAATATGGCGGATTGGTCTGCTCACAATCAGTAGAGATATAATGCCTCAACGTTGGCGAAGCCATGTTCGCTGGTTGCTAGCTAGTGGAAACAGTAAATCTAAACGCTTACACGGATACTGTGTTACATGTACAAGGATCGCGTTTATGCCGGTGAGTCGCTATTATTTCGAATATCAACGCGGTATTAAGCCGATGTAAACTGGGAGGTAAAATACTCTCCGCACAGACGCACTTACACACTTACACACACACACTTGTACACACACACACACATGGACATCGCACAGCCGGCGAATAAAATCATTCGACCACAGGTGTCATTTCCGACAATTTGCTTGCCGTTATTTTGATTTATGTCAAATTTTACCGACGTTCTCGGGGTGATTGCGGTTTTGCGCAGGAAAAAAAAAAAAAAAAAACATATTAAAATGTACTTTAAATAAATTTTATTTTGCTTTTATATCCGCGAGCTACAAAAAAAAATCTGAGCTAAACAAAAAACAAAACTAATAAAAACCACAAGCGCGCTCAAAACAATCCGAGGATTCGAAAAAAATATTTGAAAATAACCGGCAACGTTTAATTACATTTTGGTGACATGTGGAAGAGGGTTTTTTTTTTTTTTTTTTTTTTTTTTATTTCAATCTTCGCGCGCGCGCGCGAGAAAAAAACCAATACTATAATTTTGATTGCCACGCAGATTGCAGAGAGATTCACGCACGTGATAATAACACATTAAGTCTTTCCCCTATCCCCTTCCATCCGGTTTTCGTGTAAGCGCAACGCGGGTCATTTTGCTCGTATCGTAGCAATTTTGCTTTAAATGGTGACGCAAAAATTCGACGGATTTAGTTATATTCTTGTAATTCCTTTGAACAGCGCGGAGGATATTTGCTTTGAAGTAATCTGCAGCGGAAAAGGGTACGCGCGCCCCTTGATATGAATAACCTTTTTCATCGGGACAGGTTGGAGACGAGGAGAGAAGGAAAGAGAGAGAGAGAGAGAGAGAGAGAGAGAGAGAGAGAGAGAGAGAGAGAGAGAGNAGAGAGAGAGAGAGAGAGAGAGAGAGAGAGAGAGAGAGAGAGAGAGAGAGAGAGAGAGAGAGAGAAAACAAGGATGAAGAAAGGGAGGTAGGAAGGAAAAGAGAGTTAATTTTACGATGAGAAAAATGCGCGTTTACCGGCCAGTCGTGAGAAAGGGACGGGGCGAGTGCCCGAAGCAAAGCGCTGAATTCGTTTCTTGTCCCTGGCGAGTGGTTTTGTACCTTTGTAATAAAACTGCATTTCCATTTCC